GTGGCAAATGATGGGGCAGAGTCTCCGTAAACAGCGTCTAACTCGATTTTAATTTGCGTAGGCGTATTGCCTTTCAAATGTAAGAATTTAATCATGGCACGATATTCAATTTTTTTCCATTTTTTACAAAAAACACTGACATCGACTGACACAAACGACTGTCAAACAACAACTGAGCGTCCAAAATGGCTGAAATTTTCACAAAAGTCTTTCAAAGCATATACTATTGTAGTACTAGAATGGTTTTGACGAGTAACGTCATCTTCATGTTAAGGCTCAAAACTTTTCAGACTACCCTCGTATTATAATATATATTATATATATATATATATATATATATATATATATATATATATATATATACACTGTATATATTGTAAAAATAATGTATGTTTATTTTTATATTTTTCATCCTTTATTATATAAGCAAATTGCGTCCTCACGTTCGAACTCTAATAGCAAAAGCGTATTTTTATGAATACAATTTTAATAATCAGTCATTATTTTCATTTTTCTGTATATATTATTCTTATCGTCGAATCGCGTTGTCAGCGTGTTGTATATTCATAATAATCTAATGTAATAAATATAATTTATCATATATTTATCTCTGTAATTTATTTCACTTTAACTCTCAACTTATGTTAATATATTAATAGTTTTATCAAATTAATATAAATTAATGTTTAAATATTATTCGTAACAATGATATGCATATAATAAAGCTTTTCTTGAATATCATACTTTAAAATACTATAAATATATGTGACAATAAAAATTAAAATTAGTCAAAATTCTCAAATTATTGTAAAACGAAAAAAAAATTTGATACGTTATATACTCAAATAGTAAAATGTTAGCAATTTGTAAATTGATAATAAATTAGAAATTAGAATCAAATTTCCACTACAAATTCATAGTACTTCACTTCGGAATCGATAAAGCCTCTGCCAACATGCTATGCTAACAGATTGAGGCAGAAATGGAGCAGAAAAGAATAATACAAGCGTTATTTTTCAAAATTTTTTAATACTAATAATATTACAACTTAAAAGATTATGAAATAGTGGAATTTATTCGATTTTTTGTTGCCAATCTGCTGGCATATTCTGTCCAGATTAGCAACTTCCGATTTTTCTGAAATTTTGTAAATTTATGTATTTTCGTGTGTAGAATATATCTTGCGAAGGAAAATCGGCTCAAGTCCCGTTTCTTTTTTTTAATTTCAATGTTTTTTGGTATCGATAATTAAGAAAACGATAATTTATGACTGTAAGATAGCCTGTGCATGCTCATTACGATTGTCATTTATGAATTAAATGGTCCATTTATTTTCTATGCATACTTATCAATACTATCAATAGTACCATTTATAAATTACGTGTAAAATTATTCAGTTGAACAATATAACTACTAATTGATACCAACTTTACATTGTTTCGTATCTTGTTACAATATCACATTGCAATATTAAAACCTCATATATTGATCATACAAATAATGTGTAGCATTTGTATATTTATATTATATAAAAAGGAAATAGTAGATGATATATTACAAAATATTTGTTATATAAAATATTACATCCAAATTATATAGCAGTTAAGAATTGTGTTGACTGGATCTTCATTTGTAAATTACGTGCAAGTTTCATTTCTCGTCTGTGACACGATTATAATATAGTTACAATGAGTAGTCAGGAGCCTTAAATGTTTTCCATAGCTTTTTGCATAATTATATAAATTCTATGACGTTAAAGATACTAAAAATTAATTCATTGTTAAGTTAAAGTTATTAAATATTTATTAATAAAGAATATATACATGTTAATATAATAGAAATTTGATAACGTTAATATTACTCGATGATAAAAAAAATCAGATTTTATAAAGATCAAATTCAACAATGTTGAAGGCTCAAATTTCTTAATAAACTTTTATAAAAGTTTAATTATAATATTTATAATTCAAATTTTACAATGATGCAAACGCAAAATGCTGCTCAACCAAATCTTATGATATTAAAATTTCAAATTTCAATGTTATATTTCCAGGTTCTAGATTTCAGGTTTAAAGTTAACCATTTAAATCTTACAAAATCCAAGTTCCACAAAGTCGAAAATCCAGATCTCACGAAATCAATATTTCAGATTTCATAAGGTTAAAGATCTTAGGAAGATCCTACAAAATCAAAAATCTTAATCCCATGATATCGAAGATATAAATCTATGATGTTGGATCCTATGATGTTGGAAGTCCAAGTCTCGCGATGTTGGAGGTCCAGGTCCCACGACGTTGGAGATCCAGGTCCCACGACGTTGGAGATCCAGGTCCCACGACGTTGGAGATCCAGGTCCCACGACGTTGGAGATCCAGGTCCCACGACGTTGGAGATCCAGGTCCCACGACGATGGAGATCCAAATCCCACGAAGGTTGAAGATCCAGGTCCCACGACGTTCGAAATCCAGGTCCCACGACGTTGAAAATCCAGGTCCTACGACATTGGAGAGCCAGGTCCCATGGCGTTGGAAATCCAGGTCCCACGATGTTGGAGATCCAGGTCCCACGATGTTGGAGATCCAGGTCCCATGATGTTGGAGATCCAGGTCCCACGACGTTGGAGATTCAGGTCCCACGATGTTGAAGATCCAAGTCCTATGATGTTGGAGATTCAAGTCCCGCGATGCTAAAATTCCATTGCCAAGTTCCATAAAAAGATCTAAGTTCCATAATGCCGAAATTCCAGATTTCGTGATATAAAATTTTAGGTCCTATGATAAATCCGAAATCCCACGAAGTCGAAATTTCACAAAGTCAAAATTCCAATTCCCACGAAGTCAAATTTTAGATCTCATGATGTAATAAAATGTCGGAATTCACTAAATCTCATATCAAGTCTCAAATAATTATATAATGTCAAAGTTCCAAAATTTCACACAGCTAATGATTCAAAATTATATCACGTTCAGTTTTGCAAATTTCACAGTATTGAAAATGTAAATTTTATTATGAATTAAAATTTATTTTTTCTAATGTTGAAAGCTTTAAAAATTGTTTCAAGAGGAAAATTTGTATTCTGATAATACTGAAGATAACAATTGCAGAAATGCAATGATACTGAAATTTGTAATGTTAAAATTTCTCTTGCAATTCGAATTTCAATGTAAAATAAAATTTTATAATTATTTAGAACACTTCAAAGTCTATAAAGTTGGAAGATACATATCAATGTTGATAATTAATATTCATAAGTTCATCAAAATTTGTACGACGTTAAAATTCTTGATATTTTATACTTCAATATTATAATCTTATTCTACAATAGTGATACGATATGACGATTTTTGAGTTACATTCTTCTGTAAAAAAACTAACATAATGATCCCTTTTGTGATGTTTTGGTCCAAAATATAATTTCTTCATTAAAGATTCACAATAGTTTTCATGACATCTT